TTTGTTTTTTTATTTGCTTTGTTTTGTTTTTGTTTTGTTTTTGTTTTTTGTTTTTGTTTTTGGTGGGGGGGGGTTGGGGGGGGGTAATATCAGTACTCTCGTTTGTATCAAGAGAAAGGCAAATCTTTTTCCCCACATACCGGCTCACGTGTGTACGGAATGTGTGCATTCCTGGTCAGGAGAAACGTTTCGTTGTCAAAGCACCCTCTTTACGCACACACCCCAGGTCCTTCCTCTAACGTTTTACTCCAGCTGCTGGCTGGCATGTCCTCACAGTCGGACCTTCAGATGAGCATGTCTATGCCTAAGCTTGATCTAGCTGACAACCTACTGAGAATGTTTCATGTGCTTTTCTTCGAAAAAAAAAGTATAACATTTTCTCACATTACTTACTTGAATACTTGAATATAGAACTGGGGTCCCAGGAAGACGGGATGCTCCATGCTTATTCGCTAATGTTCATGAGGGTCCATTTCAGTGTGGGCAGGCTGATTGTCTCCATCATCGGCTAGTTTTTCTCACATTAATAAATGAGTTATTTCTAATTTTGTGATTTTTATTCCATATTATTGTTGTTGTTTTTATTTAAGGTAATATTCGTAGACATATAGATCACCGGCTTTTATGGTGTAGCTGCTATGCGTTTCTCGAACGGGGACAGTTTTTATGGAGCATTTCTGTGTTTCTAGTGAGATTTTGTATCCCTCTCAGCCCGGGTTGGCCCTGGCAGACAGAGTCGAAGCTGTCCTCCTAAACGATCTATATGTGTCACGACGCAGTGGAATCAGGCGCTCATCAGTTTTGGGACATATGGAGTTATAGGTATCAACTTAAAGCCTGTCCATTTGCTTTGCTTTTAATGGCAAAAATATACATTTATCTTTGATACAAGTCGAGATTTTGGGAATTGAAGGACATGGGGTCGCCTAGTTTCAGATGTAAAATTAGCGAAAAGATGGCCGCCAAAGTTGCGTTATTTCCTTAGCTTGAAAGTCCGTGGAAACTGAAAATGTACATCTTTTATGCCTTTATAAAGTTTAATCGACTTTTTTCAGTATATTATGTTCTTTAGTGGACATGAAAGATGTTGAGCCAAAAAACAAAAATTTGATAAAGATTGACTAACCTGTGAACAAATGCCAGTTTACTGGCTTTTATTATTTTGACGAGCGTCTGCTTTCCCCACGCTGCCTCACATATTATTTTTAAAAGTATAGATCTATTCTGTTGTATCCCTCTCTGAGCAAAATTATACGAGGAATAGTGAACTTTCTTTTTTCCTTTGCTTAAATATATCCCTGTACTAACTTTGAATATATCTGTTGCATCCAGCGTACCTAATTATATATGCCGGGCATCAATGGCCTTTTGCGTCTTGACAGACGATCTTAAAGCTGTATGCGTGATAATAAAAGCTTTACCTGGGCGGTAAGCTATTCGTGTGTTAAATGTGAGTGCACTTTTGCATTCCACGTGCCAAATTATACTGGACATCGAGAGCCTTTTACATCCCGACAGAAGAGCTTAAACAGTATGCATGAAATAGCTTTGCCTGGGCGATAGACATAGAGAAAGCAGAGTGCCCAAACACTACTTCCCTCTCTTCAGATCTTGACTTCCTTGATATGCTCCAAAACATTGTCAGTACGTTTGGAATCAAAGAAGATGAAAGGGTATGTCAGACTATTTTGGTAACTTCCATAGATTGAGAGTTATTGGAAAATGAAATTTAAAAATTTTTGTGCCTTTAATTAATGTTTTTCAGTAAAATCCACACAGATACGTTATTTCAAATTGATGTAATAGGTGTTAAGCCAAAAAAAAAGAAACTAAGAAGAAAGTTGTCCAACAGCCAGAACAATGCCAGTTTCTTTGATTTCATCATTTTGACGACCGTCTGATTTCACCACGATGCCTCACATTTCATAATATTTTTAATTTTCTTCTGTGCTAGATCACAAGAGTCGTCCGCTACTGGTTTTTCAACCTTCTGTGCTACTGATGTTTACGTATGTGGCGTTTTTTTCCCTGCTTCCGGTCAGGCAGACACATTTCGATTCCAAAGGTACTCTTTGGCGCTCATATGACCTTATGCAGTTGCGAACGCCGAAAAACCTCTACTAAAACAAACAAAATGAAGGTACTCGGCATGGTTTATACTGACTGGAGTATTATTGTCTGTGCAGTGCCCACAAATGCGGTATTACAGAGTCTCTTTTTTATGTCATTTCGCTTTTTGAATTTGATTTATTTCTCTTCGTTTGTTCAGGACTGGACAATGTTTTGACGGTGGTCATAGAAACATTGTGAGTGCTAACTCTGTACTCGTTATTTTACTGTTGATATGTTTTTCTCTTAGAAGTAAAAGGGAAACGATATCTGCTCTCAGATATTTTCACTTGTATTTTTCTGTTATCTCCCCTGTTTTACTTTTAAAATCTTCGGTTTAGCATTAACTTCTGTTTCATTTTATTAATTGATTTCTTAAATTGAAAAATGCTTTGAATTTTTTTTGGGGGGGATGAAGCAACAGGTTTTTGGGGGAATGTCAGGTAGAATTATCGCTTGTAACTTAGAAAGGAATCCTTCGAACAATTGCGTCATTCAATATTCACCGTTTCTCTGCATATTATGCAAACATGCCATTAAGCGAATTTCGGAAGGTGGTAGACGAAAATAAACATTCTGCCAAATGTTAAGGATATGTTTGTTTTTGTAAGTGTTTTACGGCGCTCGCAACTGCATAAGGTCATATGAGCGTGCGGGACACACTAAACTTTTTCAGTTGGAAGGAAATTTTGAATTTCGCCCGGGTGGCGGCCGAAGCCTACTCTTATCGATTTTTTACCTCCAAGGGATCTTTAACGTGCACAACTTGCACACGGGACCTTTGAGATTTTTCGCCTTTGTCCGAGAAGGCTAGGTGTAGATCTTTCCTTCCAGAAGATCAGGGGTGTGGCTGAAAGACGGAAGTAAGAAGAAGCCAATGAGTAGCAGTAGAAAGGCTGCAGAAAGAATCAGGAGCCCAGAGGAAGGAGCAAAGGAGGTGAAGGGGTGGGGGGCAGAAAGAGGAGACGAAAGCAAACGACAGAACATTGCTAGAGAGTAGGAAAGGAGGTGAAAGGAGACAAATTTAGAGAAGTTGGTTGTCTTCAAGTTTTTTGCTGGGTTTTTTTATTTGTTTGTTTTCTGTTGTTTTTTCTTGGTTGCAGATGCATTTACTGTTTTTTTAAATTTTTGTTGCTGTTCTTAACAAGGGGGGGGGGGATTTACATGAAAGTGGGACCCAGTTGGCTTTGTGAGCCACCTCCCCCCCCCCCCCTTTCTTCAACCAAAAGACACAAGATCTACGTGTACTTGAGATGATAAAGTATCTCAAGCACAATTCGGCTTTTTTTTTGACAAGGGACACCAAAATTCTAAATTCACTGATAAGAAAAGTGCCTCTTGAAGCTACCCGCGCCTCTGCATTTTTTTTCCAAATTGTCATTCAGTTTGTTTATCCAACATGTTTTGAAAAGCCTGAAAGTGACTTATTTTACCCATGATGCTCTGCTTTGTTTTTCTCCAAGCCTCTCTACATATTGGTTCAAATCTGTGGGTGAAATCTTTAGACAGTCTTTTTTTGTTATATTATGTTATTATTATACTCGGTCAGTAAACCCAGTGTCACCCAGATCGGTTCTTACACTTTTTGAAGCATATTTGTGGTTTTTGGTGTAAAGATAGTCAATGGTGTTATGATGAATTATCAAAAGATTTAAAATGGTCCACAAAACTAATTACCACAAGATTTACTGTCAATGCACCATGCATTATTTACACTATACAGTAAGTCTACGAGTCTTTTTATGACTGAATTTCAGTAAAATGAAGTCTCCAGGGTGACATGGAAGTTACAGGTGTGTTTATGAAGTTACAATTGTGTTTGTGAAGTCACAGGTGAAGTCACAGGTGTGTTTGTGAAGTCACAGGTAAAGTCACTGGTGAAGTCACAGGTGTGTTTGTGAAGTCACAGGTAAAGTTACAGGTGTGTTTGTGAAGTCACAGGTAAAGTTACAGGTGTGTTTGTGAAGTCACTGGTGAAGTCACAGGTGTGTTTGTGAAGTCACAGGTAAAGTCACTGGTGAAGTCACAGGTGTGTTTGTGAAGTCACAGGTAAAGTTACAGGTGTGTTTGTGAAGTCACTGGTGAAGTCACAGGTGTGTTTATGAAGTCACTGGTGAAGTCACAAGTGTGTTTGTACCTGAACATGTTTATTTGAATTCCTGTACGAGCTTTGATTTACACGATAGGAGAAAATTAGAGAGAGAGGAGAGAGAGAGAGGGAGAGAGAGGGAGAGAGAGAGAGAGAGAGAGAGAGAGAGAGAGAGAGAGAGAGAGAGAGAGGAGGGGGGAGAGAAGGTTTAACACAAAGAAGAGTTAGTACAAAGATCACAAACGTAACAGGCTGTTTGGCATTCCCATATGTTAAAGATCGACAAACACACACGATACAAATTGATGACAAACTAACGTAAGTGGGTGCGGAGCATTCGGCATTATTTCTACTGATTGTGCTGAATGTCCTCTGTGAACTGACTTAAGCCCCAAAAAAAGTTTTGCGAGAAGCTAAGCACAAGTTGAGCTCACACAATGTCAAACGTCCCAAAAAGTGTTATTAGGTCCGCTTTTGAAAGGACAAATTTGCTACGCCCTTGCCAAACAAAACAGATAAACAAAATTACGATACAAACATACATCAAAACACATGCGCACAATGCGCGCGCGCGCACCCACGCAC